CTAAGTAAATGTAATGTATGATGTCAGGCCGCATCCCACTGACCACGGCCTGTAGGTGTCAGCGCAACATGGCAGATTCACCACATATGTAATGTATGATGTCAGGCCGCATCCCACTGACCACGGCCTGTAGGTGTCAGCGCAACATGGCAGATTCACCACATATGTAATGTATGATGTCAAACTGCATCCCACTGACCACGGCCTGTAGGTGTCAGCGCAACATGGCAGATTCACCACATATGCATATCAAACTCAGCCAAACTCCCAAACACTCATGCACACTCACACTCGCAAACACTCACCTTCACTCGCACCCAAGCACTCACACTTGTACACACTAACCCTCTCTCACATTCCCCCCCCTAATCCCATTTGTGACACCTTTAACCCCTACCCAGCCCTAACCTTAACCATGGGTAACTAGACAACATTCACAGATCTTTATAAATTTGAGGGTATCCAAATGGGGACCTGAAGGTCTTAACACACTTTGGGGACATTTTGGTGCCCAAATGTGAACTATGCAACCCCCCCCCCCCACACACACACACAGATTTCAAATTCTTTTTGTAAATCATGGACACCGCATTCTCCGGGCTAAAGAGGAGTGGGACCATCCAGCTTGTTATCAGCGGAAGTTCCAAAACCAGCATCCGTGATGGAATGGGGGTGCATTAGTGCCCATGGCTTGGGTAGCCTGTACATCTGGGATGGCACCAGTAATGCTGAACGATATATACAGGCTGTGGAGCAACATATGCTGCCATCCAGACAATGTTTTTTTCAGTGAAGGCTTTGTATATTTTAGCAAAACAATGCCAAACCGCATTTTGCGCGCATTAGACTGCCCTGCCTACAGTCTAGACCTGTCACCCACTGAAAGCATTTTGCGCATCACAAAATGAAAAATATGACAAAGGAGACCCTGAACTGTTTCATTCATCATTTTCATTCTGTTTTTATTCACATTTTACACAGCTTTCCGGCTTCTTCGGAAACGGGGCTTTATATACATGCCCGCACACACACTCGCACGTTCAGTGTGCATTTCCAACTGCTTTCCTGCCTACTTCCTCTTTATCCCATAATAAATCCTGGTACAGAGCAGCCAACAACCTTGAGAAAAGGTCTGTGAATCCTTTGAAATTATCTGTGTATTCAAAAATATGAATACTGTGCGTTGTTTGCCAAATGTATTATTTTTAGTGTGACTTAGATGAAGATCAGGTCACAATGTAGGAGCGATTCATACATGCAGTGTTTGTTACACAGACTGCCAAACTGACTCACTGGACGACATGGCAAAGCACCATGGGAAGCATATGCTAACGTTTCACACAAAGCCAGAAGCTCACAGCAATGCCCGAGTTGGCGGAATCCGTCTGTCTGCGTCCAGCCCGGCGATGCTTGGCCAGCTGCAGGTTTCAGCCACCACTTTCACAGCATGAGCAGGCGTGGAGCTCTGTGTGGATGCGATAACTGCAGCATATTTAGGGAAACGGCCCAACTGGCAGCCAGTGATAATACTGACCTACTAGGTGGAGCACAAGAGAGCACTGGGGCTGCTTCTCTACCACTGCATTACACATAGGCTCAGCAGAGACGGCTTTGCTGTTTGACCTGCAGCCGAAGCCTGAACACTATTTAGACCAGTGGGTCTCAACCTTTTGTAATCGAAAGACTCCCTGTGTCCAGGAATACATGTTTGGTCCTGCCACACAGATTACAATATTTCTCTTGCATGCGTTCTGCAGTTATGACAGATATTGCCAATGTTTATTAATATGAACGCATTTTAATTTGATTACACTGCCAAACAATGTAATTTCTTTTAAACATGACTGAATGTTTCACTCCACTATGTCCACCAACACTCTTTTTTCCCTAAGTTTATGACAGTGCTCTAAAAACAGAAGGTGAATGTCTCTAAATGGCTCTAAAGTAGAAGCCAAACAACTATGCACAGTGTGCTTAATCACTGAAAAGACCCTCATCTTAAGGTATTAGCCTTCAACAAAATAAAACACATATTGCAAGTTACAATATTTTTAATAATGTTTTGAACCAAGTCACAATAATTTTACACCTTTGTCCATCAGCTTCTCTGTGAGATGCTGCAGACTGAATTGGTTTGATTTTAGCTGTAGATTCTCACCGTTTACGACCATTAAAAATCTTTAATAAAGCCCTAATTTTAACGCACAATAAAAGTATGTCAACATGAACAATATTGTCTTCATTTTCTCTACAGTTTTCAAATAAATTCTGCAGCAGCCATTGGTTCTCACTGAGGCCCTCTAGTGGCTGCAGCCCCCTGGCTGAGAACCACTGATCTAGATCCTGGGCTTTAACCCTGAATTTATAACACATGGGGTTTAACTATAACTGTAGGAAAAGGCATAATATTTTCCACAAAAAACAGCCAGTCATGGATACGGGGGGGACTTTTAAACTCATGATACAAAGCCAGGAATGGAATTAAGCAGAATAAACTACAATTAAACACAAGTGAAGCACTTTTTTACACTTATATTTGCAGTTTTCAAGACAAAGTGGACATACTGTGGGAAAAGCTGACCAAAGGCCGTGGTTGCTGAATTAATAAACCAAAAGATATAATTTCTTCTCAGAGAAGTCTCAAAAATGCATGTCTGTGAGTGCATGTTTATCTGTGTAAGAAAAATGTTAGAATTCGGTTTGCATTTGGTTACATCATGTGGCTGTTTGGGCATGGTTTAAGCGTTTCATTTCAGGAAGGTCCGACCCCTTGTGTTATTTTCAAATAGGGGACGCTGAGGACGTGGTGGATCGATGCTTATTTTTCAAAGCTTCACAGCTGTTCAATTATGTTGTATTTGTTTCTGTTGAGGCAGTTGAGTCAAAATGAAACTCCAAAATAATGACAAGCCTGACTGACGAGAGAGGCCCCACTCACAGAGAAGTACCAATTAAAAAATTAGAACCCACTTTCCGGATGGTTCTCATCTCACTGGTACTAATAAGTTTGCATTTCTGAATTCCAGAGAGTTACACAGAAGGATATGGAGTTTGTGAGGCTTTTCAGCTTTTACTGAGATTTTTTGGTCCTTTTCATAGATAGATCATGTGATTCTCCCATATTTCAAAAACGAATCAATCATACTTCCAGCTAAATCGGCAGAGCAAGAACTTTGTGTGTCCAGGTGGTTGTAGACAGAGAGGGCAAAGCAGCGGCGGTTTGTGCACAGAGACCAAAGTAGCGGCAGTTTATAGACAGAGAAGGGAAAGCAGCAGTGGTCTGTGGACAGGGAGGGCAAAGCAGCGCCGGTCTGTAGACAGGGAGGGAAAAGCAGCGGCGGTCTGTGGACAGGGAGGGCAAAGCAGCGGCAGTTTGTGGACAAAGAGGGCAAAGCAGCGGCGGTTTGTGGACAAAGAGAGCAAAGCAGCGGCAGTTTATAGATAGAGAGAGCAAAGCAGTGGTGGTCTTTGGACAGGGAGCGAAGCAGTGGCAGTTTGTGGACAGGGAGCAAAGCAGCAGCGGTTTGTGGACAGAGAGCAAAGCAGCGGCGGTTTGTGGACAGGGAGCAAAGCAGTGGCAGTTTGTGGACAAAGAGGGCAAAGCAGCGGCGGTTTGTGGACAGGGAGCAAAGCAGTGGCAGTTTGTGGACAAAGAGGGCAAAGCAGCGGCGGTTTGAGGACAGGGAGGGCAAAGCAGTGGCGGTTTGTGAACGGAGGGCAAAGCAGCGGCGGGTTCTGGGGAGAGAGGGCAAAGCAGTGGCGGTTTGTGGACAAAGAGGACAAAAGGTAAAATAAGCTATATAAGAACTACAGGTAACCCAGGTTCTGAGATATTTTTGTCCATCAATGGTGGTAATCAATCAAACCCCTATGTAATAAGGATATTTTTGAGAGATATTTAGGAGAAAATCTTAAAAAAAAAAACCTGGCTAAATTGTTACAACTTTACCACACTAGTGGATCACCAGACAATATTTATCTAGAGAACCAGAAGAATAAGCAAATGACAATAGTAACAAGTAGATCAATATACCCTGAATAACAGATCACTTGAAGCAAGAGGTTCCATTCTTTTAAATTAATCAAATTTGTGACTGTGTTTTTTAGATAGTCTGCTTGGTGGTTAAACTACAGTGCCACATAGTCAGAGTGGGACAGAGAGAAAGTGAAGAAGGCAGCTGACCATCTTGCAGGTGCCTTACCGCCTACAGAAAGGTGTAGAGACGGAACACTACCAATGACATCATCTGGGAGGACCTGAACCTTGCTAATGACACCATCTAGGAGAACTTTACCAATGATATAATCTAGGAGAACCTTACCAATGATATCATCTAGAAGAAAGCCACAATGAGCATGTATAGGAAATGGTTCAGGAGCAGCAGAGTATCGGAAGCTGTCACTCATTTCTAGTGCAATCCTATTAAATCAGCATCCTGGTGCAGGCCGAACCTCAGTCCCATGGCAGTGGAGTTGCTGTACGCTGGCCACTAGAGATTATATGGGGGAACAGTGTGTTCCAGAAGCTTGTCACCAGGACAACAAACCTCTTGGTGAATGTTAGGATCTGTGCTCCACTCAATTAGGTAGGGGTACAAAATTAATCTGGAAATGTAATGTAAGAAGTAGTTCCTCAAGTTCTGAAAAGGAAGCATTTTTATTTTACAAGTTTTCTGTTAACATATATGAAGCTGATTTTATGTGAAGAGATTCTTTCTGATAAAGCTATGATGAATTTTACTCTTTACATGCTGCAGGTATTTAATCTTTCCAGCAGAAAAACAGTGCGTCAGTAAATGACTTCCCATCTGGCTCATCATCTCCTTACTCTAAGAAACTATTGATTCCATGGACTTCACCCACAAGGGATCTGAATATCAAATATCTTTTGAAGGCCTGTGAGAACTGAACAATCAATACAGTTCTGAAGTCAGAAAGGCCCTGGATCAGGTGTAACTGCATAAACTGGAAGTCAGTTTAACAGTGACTGGGGGCCTAGAAAATTTCGGACATAAATAAACATACATAAACAGGAAATCTCTGTACATCAGAATCATATGGGATGTCCCCCACATGTGGAAACAGACAGACAGATCTGTTTGCCTTCCACACTCTGGGCCAAGCCCAAATTAGACATTAGTGATACAATGAAATGCAATGAGCACAGCTTAGAGATAAAGTAAGCTAATTAAAGTAACTTTTTAAATTAAAATAGAGTAAAAAAGTAAGTGCCCCCCGCCCCCCATGAGAGTGGCTTGTATGGTATGTATGAGCTTGGGAAATATCCATCTGATCATTCACTACACAGCAAGGGCTCCAGGAGAAGGAAAAAAAGACTGGGAGATAACGATCTGCAGCGTGAACTTGAAATACATAACAATGGCCCCTGACAGAGAACCTGGTGATGCAGATCTGTAGCCTGTGATAGACATACAAAGCCTGGTGATATAGATCTGTAGCCCCTAATGGAGATTCGAAACCTGGTGATGTAGATCTATTCTGCTTGATGGAGATACGAAGCCTGGTGATGTAGATATATTCTGCTTGATGGAGATACAAAGCCTGGTAATGTAGATCTATTGTCCCTGATGGAGATACAAAGCCTGATGATGCAGGTCTATTGTGCCTGATCGAGATACAAAGCCTGCAGATATAGATCTAAAGCTCCTCTTGGAGATACAAAACCTGGAGATCAAGGTATGTGGCCTTTGAGCTGAGGGGAAACACGATGGCCATATGGGCTGACAAGTCAGGGTGTTCAGCAGCTTAACTTGTAGCATTGAAGCTTCCCACAAAGTCAGAATGGGAGAAAAAGCATCACATTCAGTCTGTGGACAGGCAGCTTAGTCAGTGAACCACTAGCCACCATCACTGTAGGTTATGATACCAGTTTACCGTCAAAACCAAAAGAGTAGCTCTCAGTCTCACAAAAGTCAGGTTCTGAATGACAGCAGGCTATAATGTCACAAAGCCTTCACTCACCTGGTTGATGATGTAAATGCCGTAGTCAATCTTCTGCCGACGCAGGATGGGGTGCAGATAGTGCAGCCAGTACCTGAGGTGGTGATCCCGATTTCGGAATGGGATGATGATGGCCACTTTCTGCTTGGGCCTACAGTCCGGGGGGGTGTACCTGCCCCCCTGGGTTACATTAGGGTTCTCCTTCTGGACCCGCTCCATTGTCATCAGCGAGCTGAACTCGATGAGCAGACGACCCACTGAGGAGAAAGGGAAGGTGGGATAAACATGGTGTTATCCCACTGTGGAGAAAACACAGGCTGCGTAAACACTGTTTCCCCACTGAGGAAAAAGGACAGGCAGCGCAAACACGGCGTTACCCCACTGAGGAAAAAGGACAGGTGGCGCAAACACGGCATTACCTCTCTGAGGAAAAAGGACAGGCAGCGTAAACGTGCCATTATCCCACTGAGGAGAAAGTACAGGCAACGTAAACATGGTGTTAACCCACTGAGGAAAAAGGACAGACGGTGTAAACATGGTGTTACCCCACTGAGGAAAAAGGACAGATGGTGTAAACGTGGCGTTATCCCCAATGAGGAGAAAGTACAAGCGGTGTAAACAATGAATTGTCTTTTTTCTAAAAACATTCATTACAGATGGTAAACACGGCGTTACCCCACTGAGGAAAAAGGACAGGCGGCGCAAACACGGCGTTACCCCACTGAGGAGGAAGTACAGGTGCCGTAAACACGGCGTTACCCCACTGAGGAAAA